ATGGGCTTCAACTGAATGGAGATTTGGCCAGAAATCAAGGTGACCAGTTATCATCAACAAAGGCCTCCTGCCTGCCAATAACTACATGACTGGCTCCCAGATAACTGAACAGCTTGATTAGTTCTGCCAAATATTCACACAATCAGACATCTGAAGGAAGGAAGAAGCTATGCTTCTGTTCTGCAGCAAAAATCACCTCAAGACTGAATAAAACCAATTTATTTTTTTCCTTAGCAGTTGCTGTAAACCGTAGCTCTTAACCAGTAAAACAGAATTTTTGTGTTTGAACCAGCCACTCCATACCATCTTCAAGCAAGTGAAAGTATCTGGAGAAGGAGATCAAGGAAAAGCCCATCCTGACAAGCCAAAAGGACCAACTCAGCAGACCCTATGAAGAGGGACCATTGAGCCCCCATCCCAGTCTTTCCCTCCGTCCATTAACACCCATGTTTTTTCCTGTTTGTGTCTCTCTGAGCATGTGTGGGGACAGAGTTTATAAAGGGGTTAGAATTTCTAAAATTCTATGTCAACGGATCATAATTCTTTTTCTGTAGCTATTTAATAGATTTATAGTTTAAATTTATACAATAGATTTATCTGTTGTAACAAATAGTCGTTCTTGTTAAGTACAGAAACCTAGCCCATAATTTCTGTCAACATGGGTCTAAAAAACAGCTTTAAATTGGGGAAATTTGAGTATTTTTACAAAATTTTTAACTTCTGTGATGACTCCAGAAATAACACAGCTTGATTTCCAGTGCACTATCCTAGTGAGGTATAACACTTGATTATACACTTGTTCTTAACTCTACAAGTTATGATGCTGTTGGATAACTTGCACATCTGTAATCTAACAAAAAACTCACATTCTGTAACTGCTTAATGTGTACTTGGCATTAGAATCATACTGTAGGTTGTACGTCATAGTAACAATAATGTTACAGAACAGAAGTAGGTCATTTGACCCAACAGGTGTATGCCAGGATTTGAACTCCATTTTTAAAGCAAGGACATTGACAAATTAGTGTCCCGTATTTAATTTTATGCTTAAGGTCTTACTAATTGAATAATCTCTTCATCCATTCCAATTCTACATCTTGTGTGTTTGTAGGAGTGTGTGAAATAAATTTTGTTCTACTTTAACTTTACGTCAGTGTTGTTGTGGCTCTTGCAAAGTCAAAACACACAAACAGAGAGAATGGGAGAAATATGCTCTGAGTGATTATGTCAAAATGAGGGCAAATTTTTTAAAAATCTGCCTATAGCCAGATAGAAGAATCGAGCTTTGTTTTGAAATTTGCAGTCTGCCTGCAACAGAAAATGGGGACTCATGTCTGGAATTAGATAAAACAAACTGCGCCAAAAATGTGACCAAGAGTTATGAAATTTGACAGAAGTATGAGAAATGAGCCAAAATAAACTGATAGGAAACCAAAAAGGGAAAACTGGATGTCTGAAAAATAAACAGCCACAACATAATGTTAATGTCAGAAAATGGCACACCTTGAATCAAAGGAATCTATAGAATATGATAGTTTGCCTGCTGAAGTGTTAGTGTCCCTGAGCACAAACCAGTTAAAGCTGTAACTCGCGAATTATAAGAAAATCTGCCCAGCGTGTTAAAATGGAATGAAATCTGCTGCTTGAACACTTTTGACTCAGTCCACCAGTATATCGGTATACGAGGAATTAGAACTGAAAACAGATTAATAACCTGTCACCATCAAAGCTAGAAAGACTTTAAATAGAGCTTGAGTTTAGGGAGAGAGAAGAGAAAGGGAAGAAAGCTAGAGAAGGAAAGTGTTATACTAGCTGTGAAAACTGGAATTGCAGTTGTAAATTTATAGAGAAGCTACTCTACAGAGAAAACTACAGATTGAAGCTACTCAGAAAAGGTCTGCTCCACTTTGCTATCAGTTTAAATCTTCTACCCCAAACCAAGCTTTGGATCACTTTTAAATGAGAGGTTGATTCCTATATTTGAAGAGGGTGGTGCAGAGTCTTTCTTCACTACCTTCAAAAAATGACCAGAAGAAATGGGAACCCTCATGATTCAAGATCTGGTAAAAGGGAAGGCCCAAGATGTTTTTCCCATGCTAATCCCTGAAATGTCTGGTGATTATGGACACACCCTTAAAGGAAAAAAGAATTCTCACAACTCAAAAAGCCACAGCCACTGCTAATAGCTAAGAACATAACCATAAGCCGGGCAACTTAAGCTGACCCTTTCACAGTAACCCCCAAAATCAGTGGGAGGCTAAGAGGGGAGAGGTGGCTGGGAAGGGAGGGGAGGTAGAAATAAGGCTGCATGATGACCACCCCAAGCCCCAAAAGTATATTCCCCAGAGACCGGAGTGTTCCCATTGCTTAAATATAGGCCTGGATGCTGGATGCTGAATGGCACCCCTGGCATCCTGTAGAACTCCACAGGAGAAGTCTCAGGGAAGATATCACAAAAACAGTATCAGCAGAAACCCTCACAGAAGAAACTGGCCCTTCTGAGTGTATTGCCCTCTGTGTGACCAAGCCAGAAACAGACCCCTGGAGACACCACAGTTTTGTCCTCACTGGCCTATGTTCCCACACCCCTCCCAAGACATGAGCTAGACCATTGTGCTGTTCTAGGACACAAAGGCCAATGAATCCTTTATATTAGAGAAAACCCTAAGCCTCCCCCAGTACCTCCCTGAAAGCGATGGTGCTGATGGTGGAGTGGTAAGACGATACATGTCTGTACCCTTGTATAGGTTCACCTGCTGCGCAACCTGGTCTTGAGTTCTGTTACCAAAAATCTAGTCTGTCCAGTCTTGTTAGACCTTTATATGTTTCAATCAGATCTCCTATCATCCTTCTAAATGCTTGTGAATACAGGCCCTGTCAAATCAATCTTTCTTCATAGAACAGTCCTGCAATTACCAGTGTCAGCCTAGTGAACCTCTGCTGCATTCCCTGTATGGCATGTATATCCTTTATGAGGGAACGAAACTGCAGGTTTGGTCTCATAAGGCCCTCTTTAAATGATGTAAAAAACTTACTGTTCACCTGAGTGATTGTCCAGCTTGTTGCATTTCCTGCTTCAGACTTCCCGTTTCTTCCGTGCACTTGAGCATTCTGTAGACTGCCTTCAGAGCTCATTGCCCTGCTGTGGCCTTTCCTTTGTTTGACTGACTGCACTTGTTTTTTTGCTGTAGCCCTTCCAATGCAACCTTCCCCTAGCCAATTGGTCTAGGTGCTCTGCTGCTCTGCAGACTTTTTCTGTACTCTCATTATGGGCTGTCTGAGGCAACAGCTTCTCTCACTGGGCCTGCTGTTGGCTTTTCCTGAAGAATTCTACCTGATTGATGTTCTTCCATTTTCCAAGTCAGGAATTCTTCCAAGGAATTCCTTTTCTCATGTTTCTTTTCTCCTGTGTTCCTGACTACTGCCTGGTTACCATTGGTCTGTAAATTGTAGTAAAGGTCAGGTCTGCACTCAGGTGAGTGAACAGCTTTATTACAACTGTACACAAGGAACTATAAGAGAGGACATCCCTGGAACCTTTCAGACACGTGGCCCAGTTCATCTTGTGCAGTCGCCATCAATGACAGAGTTCATTACGCACGTGCTCAGTACCTATTATTAGAATAAAGGCATATATAACCCTTTTCTCTACAGATCACAGTACCTAAACTCAAAATAGATTGTCAGTTGAACAGTTAAAGTTCCATTACCATCAGCTATGGCTGATGGCAGATTCTTACTGTCCAAATTTCTTCAGCTAAACTCAGTTTAGTTCTGCTAGGTTGACAGTTTTCCAGATATGAAGCCGAAGTGCTTTATTTGTTGATTAAGTAATTGATTGCACTTACAATATTTTGAATACTGGCTTACACAGATCTGGTTTTCAGATTTTCAAGGTCTGTTCTAAGCCTTTTTTAAAATAACTGTTGTTTGTGCCTTCCTGATAGTGCCGACTTCCATGTGAAAAAAGTAGTTTGCGAGACACCCACAGTCCAACAAGCCTGAGCCAAATCAGGCTCCAAATGGCCCAAAGCATGATGGTTTTGTTTAGTCAAACTTATGCATTTGAGATGTTACATCATAGTTGAAAATCCTGCACAAATAAGAAAAAACCTATGGTTGTTCTTTCCATACATTTCACATCCTTCAGTCATCTTTCATCAGAAATTTGCAACTTTGATTGATCTTGCCCTCAGCCATAGGGTAATGACTGATGAAGTTACTGGATGTTTAGAACTACTTCAGATTTCCACTAACTTTGGGGAGTAGCATAACCCTGCATTTACTTTGAACCAAGTTGTATGAGTACATTGAGTAATGAGATAAGCATACTTGCACTTTAAAAATGCAGGTGCTTGTTCATAAATAAGATTGACCTTGAATTTCTGGTAAACCAAATGCAATGTTTTTTTCAAGCTCTCAAACTGCTATTTCCAGTACATTACAGAAAACCATGAAAGATTGTACCTACAAGTAAAATAGAAGTATGATCCAGTTTAGTTTTGACAAACTTAAGCTAAAGGTGGTATTGGAAAACATCCAAATTGTGTTAGACTAACTGAACCATTGCATGTGACCAAATGGGAAGAAACATACTGAAGGAACATGTTGGCATTACTCCATTTAAGTGACAAAATCTCGTACAATTTTCAGACAAATCTTTTGGTGTTAATGGCTGAATCAAACCCTAGAACATTTTCCATAAATAAAATAGAACTGGATTCTGTGCATTCATCCTAGTAAAACACATGTAATCAATCAACTCAACTATTGTTATTGTCAGCAAAATCTATCACATGCCTACTTTGCATCTTATTTCCTGACTCAGTTCACTAAAAAGTGGTGTCAAATAACTTCCAAAACACGAGGAAAACATTTTTATTCTTGCTTAACTGGAATCTAAGCACAAGATGAGTTCAAGGAGAGCAGTTTAAATATTAACTAAGGCGTTCACTGGCTGATTTGAATATTGCTTCACTTATTCCACTCGTGTCCACACACATTTAGTTCCCAGTAACAGAGGATGGCTGACAAGATCAGTGATGATTCTCTTTCCTAATAGACATTAATTCACAGGTACAGTGAATGGATTTTCTCTATTCTTAAACTTAACATGTGACTCTGAGTTTTATTGTGCCTGTCAGAATCTGAACTAAGATTAATGAAACTTGTTACTCGAGACTTGACCATATGATGTAGATTTGCTGGTATGTTTACTGTTCATAGCAATGTGAAGTCCTATTATTTGTAAACCTTTGATCTGACAATAACAAGACTATTTTGTTGAAATGCTAAAATTATTACTTTTGTGCTGATTCACTATTGGCTTGGATTTTCCTGTGGCCAGTCATTATTTCAGTATAGCTGAGAGTTGCAAACGGGTCTTGTGGAATCCCCATCGTAGCAGACTCTGTGGCAATTGCCGAGCAAACTGAATATTCTGCTAGAATATTCTTCCTTAACTGGAACCCTTCAGAAGTCTCCATATAAATCAAAGACTTCAAATTGTTCTGATGAAATTAAATAAAGTAGTTACTGAGACAAAGATTATTAATACATAGTCTAATTTTTGAGTAACTAATCAATAGACTCCCCTACCGATCAAACAGTCCCCAATGACACCTCCTACAAATCACTTACAGCCCCCAGACCCTGACCTGACAATCCCTGGGCCACAACTTCACTTACTCCTCCCCCCATCTGTATGAACCAATGCGAATCCATCACCCCTTCACTCCACCCCACCGCTGGACTAGACCACAGCTAATTCCCTTCCCACTGGACTCAACCTAACACCACACCTCCACTGCTGGACCTAATCTGACTCCTCAGTTGCCAGACACAATTCCAAGATTCCCTGACCTATGCTGGACATGACCCTCCCCCTCCCAGATCCGACACCCAAATCATACTCTGGCCCTGTTCAACCCGATTTCTCCCACTCAACTGATCTACTTAACACTGCATCTTGCCACCTTGCACCCACAGAACCTGATCCCTTCCCATTTGACATCATAATCACACGACATTCTACCTCCTACTAATCTGACATCCTATCTCTGGAACCCCACCCCTCCCAGCTGGCAACCTTCCTGGCTGGCATCCTACCCACCTGGCACTCTACTCATGTGGCTTCCTACTCCCAAACCATCTGGAATTCATCTGCTACCACTCTATACCCATCTCAATTCGATTCATTCCATATGATATCAAGAAATGGTTGGAGGCACAGGATACTACAAGGCTATGGGGCTAACAGCATTTTGGAAATAGTACTGAAGACTTGTGCTCCAGAACTTGTCACTCTCCTAGCCAAGTGGTTCCAGTACAGTTACAACATTGGCACCAATCTGACAATGTGGAAATTTGCCCAGGTATGTCCTCTACACAAAAAGCAGAACCAATCTAACCCAATCAATTACTGCCCCATCGATTTACTCTTGATCATCAGTAAAGTGATGTAAGGTATCAACAACAGAGCTATCAAGCAGCATCCTGCTCAGCAATAACCTGCTCAGTGATGCCCAGTTTAGGTTCTGCCAGGGCCATCAGCTCCTGACCTCATTACAGCCTAGGTTCAAACGTGGACAAAAGGGTTGAGGTGGAAATGACAGCCCTTGACATCAAGGCTGCATTTGGCCGAGTGTGGCATCAAAAGCCCTGAAAAAATTGGAAGCAATGGGTATCAGGCAGCAAATTCTCTGGTGGCTGGTGTCATAAGAGACAAGAGGAAGACGGTCATGGTTGTTGGACGTCAGTCAACTCAGGCCCAGGACATCTCTGCAGGAGTTCCTTAGGCCAGTGTCCTCCGCCCAACCTTCTTCAGCTGCTTCATCAATGACCTTCCCTCCATCATAAGTTCAGAGGTAGGGATGTCTGCTAATGATTGCACAAAGTTCGGTGCCACTCATGACTCCTCAAGTACTGAAGCAGTCCATGTTCACATGCTACAAGATCTAGACAATGTCCAAGCTTAGGCTGGCAAGTGGCAAGTAACATTTAGACCATACTAATGCCAGGCTATCTCCATCTCCAATAAGAGACAACCTAACCACTACCCCTTAACATTCATTGATGTTACCATCATTGAATCCCCCACTATCAACATGCTGGAGGTTACCATTGACTCAGTTGGATTTGCCATATAAATACAGTAGCTTCAGGAGCAGGTCAGATGCTAGGAATATTGCGGTGACTAACTCACCTCCTAATTCCCCAAAGGCTGTCCATCGTCTACAAAGCACAAGTCAGGTATGTGATGGAATACTCCCTACTTGCCTGGATGAGCGTAACCGTGAGAATACTTATGCAGCTTGACACCATCAAGCACAAAGCAGCTCATTTGGTTGGCATCACATCCACAAACCTCCACTCCCTCCAGCACCAACTGCAGTCACTGCAGTGTGTAGTACGTACAAAGTGCATTGCAGAAATTCAGCAAAGATCCTCTGACAGCACCTTCCACACTCACAACCAATTCCATTTGGAAGGACAAGGGCAGCAAAAACATGGGAATACCATCACCTGCAAGTTTCCCTTCAAGCACTCACCATCCTGACTTGGAAGTATATTGCCGTTCTTTCACTGTGACTGGTTCAAACTCCTGGAATTCCCTCCCTAAGGGCATCGTGGACTGCAGTGGTTCAAGAAGGCAGCTCACTAGGAACTGGCAATAAATGCTGGCCAGCCAGTGACACCCACGTCCCACAGGAGAATAAATAAAAAAAGTTTGGTAGTCCTGCTAATATTTGGGCTGTTTCAAGTCACAGTTGAAAAGAGTATAATGTTACTAACGTGACAAATTCTCTTATGTATGTTTTAACTCATGTTCAGATTCGAAAGCTGCACCTCTTGTAGATTTTAGCAAAGTCAAATATTTAACAAAGTTTCTTGTCTTGATGCCAAAATATAAATGAACAGGTAAGCTGTGCATTGTGTAGCTGCTAAGCCAGATGTCTGCTTTTTTGTATTGTACCAAACAGGATTTGGTGAGTTAAAAGAGAGCAAATCTTTTGAAAAAAATAGAGTATGATGACATTTGTTACTTCCAGTCAATAGGTGAAATTAACCTTTCAACCATGTTATATTTTCATCAGCATAAAAAGGATGAAAATTTTAAAATCAAGGCGTTGCTTGACCAGGATCCAATGTACAGGAGTATAGGACTTTCTGTGAGTTAATACACAGGCAGCACATAATTGGATGACTTCAAGTTTACAGAGGATAGAACATGGGAAACCAGCAGGAATGTGTTAGAATAGTCAAATCTAGATGAAATAAAGGCATAGATGAGCAGAGAAGCTGAGACAGAGGTGAAATCAAGCAATAGAGATGCAAAAAGAAGCTCTTGGTGATGGTGCAAATATGAATTTGAAAGGTCTTCTTGGGATCAAATCAGACACCGAAGTTGTGAAGAAATTGCTTAATGTCAGACTGTGTTACCAGGAAGAGGGATGGAGTTAGGAGACAAGAAGTTGAATTTGTAGCAAGGACTGGAAATAATTATTTTAATCCGCTCAATGCTTTCAAACATTTGAAAGAAATATTTGTTCATCCAGTCCTAGATGTTGGCTAAGCAGTCTGATTAATTAATAACTGTGGAACTGTCAGGCAAGGTGATGGTGAGCTAGAGCTGGGTGTTGTCACTAACTCTGTACCTTCGGGTGATGTCACCAAAAGGAAGTGTGTAGGTGAGAAGAAAGAGTTGTGGAAGGGGGCCAGAGGTAATGTTATACGGACAGGTAGAGAATGCATTGCATATAATTCTCCGGCGACAATTGGATGGATAAGAGTGGAACCACATGGGAGCTGAATGACAATGGAGATGTATTGAAGGAGGATGGTGTGCTTCAACTCAGTTCATGACAGATTTCAAGTCCTGGTTGCGAACAGTAAGACAAGGATGCTTACCTGTGTCACAGTCACATAGGATGTCATCTTTGATAAGTGCCACCTTGGTTCTATTTAACTTGGTTAATTATACCTGTTTGCTTTAACCCAGAAAAGCAAGGTCTGTGTTAGATTCTAGGGATTGAGGTGGCCCTCAGCATCAGTGGCTCATGAAATCTGTCATGAGCTGAATATAATGCAATAGTTTTCAAAACTGCAATAAAAACTAAGACAAGATTGACCTGGTTACAAAGTGCTTCAGATGCCTCAATTGATCTTACGATGTATTCTTTCTGCCCACACAGCCTGACTAAGAGAAAGTTTCATGGAAGCACTAGAGGAGGAAGTAAAATGCAGCAGCCTAAAGAGGATACAAAAGATGATATTTTGCTAACTGCAGGAGACAGTTATGCCACTATCCTATTTGAGACCTTTTCTTCAATTCCACCTCTTTCAGTTCATTAGCAATGACATATAATTCTCCCCTGTTTCGTTTACAGACATGCCATAATCTACAAACCCATCCCTGTCAGTAATACAGCAAGTTTTCATTCATGGTACCTGATGAATACAATTTCCAATTTTTTTCCAAGATCAAGTAAATTTGATTTTACAATTACTGAAAAAAAATGTTTGCCTGCTTGCAACCATAAAGTGAGGTTGTGCGATGGGTGGTGGACAATGCAATTTTAGCCCAACTTCAACTATGAATCAGCTACAGATACAGAGAAAACCTTTCCAGGGAGCTTGGTCTATAGCATATTTGATTGAGAAGTGTACAAACGCTGGTATGGTTTTGCAATATGAAACCAAATTCAATCTCTGTTTAATTCCAGCATTTGCACATCAGATAAAAACTGTTAACAAGGTCATGTTGCTAATGTTGAGGTTTTGATACCATACAGGTATAGAGTCAGTTGAATGTGTTATGCTGTATTCTTTTGGTACAGAATGCAACTGGCTTCCAACTATAGATCTTTGTGCATCTGTCTGCACGTTTTAGAATGGTGTGCATTACATATCAGCTATACATTTCTGGTTTGAAATGCATTAGTTTCAGTGGAAAATGATCATCCTACTTACTATTGTGTTACGAAATAATAAAAATATTTTTATGACTTGGAACTAAATGTGGTTACTACTAGGTATAACACAAGCTTTCTGTGTAGTGGCAATACAGTGAAAAC